AAGCATATTAGCAATGATTCAGTAAATCGCATATTGGAAATTTCAACTTACATACATTTTTTCGCGCTATTAAAAGTTCGTGGATTTTTTAAATATTTTTATGCTGTGAGAAAGTCATATAAAAAGATGAATAGTAAGCCAGCTTGGCGCCTTTCATGTTTACAACGGTGTTACCATTCGATGGCAACCTTCATTTTTTACTTCCAACAAATAACTGGAATGTAGTCGTGAAACTTCGCATTCGTTCAAATTTAATAAGCGTGCAAAAATGGAATAAAAATTTGAAAGAGGTAGAGAGAGTGAAAACGGGGAAAATTCACGGAATTTCGTTTTTTAATTACGGCTCTATTAACACCCTTTCTAATTTTTTGTAAACATTCTAATTACTTTCTAATTATTCTAAGATTACAATAGTTAACTTGAATCAATGTTCTTAGGCTGTAAAATGTAATATTAAAAATAACTATTAAGACTAAATTAGGTTTACATTTGCTTGTCCTGTTGCTATAGCTTCGAGCTAACATGTTAGATTAAAAGTGACGATTTAAACGCCGAAAGCTTCTGGCGCAGCATTAGAAATGAACAGTCCTAAAATCTGTGATAAAATCAACTTAACTGCAGATGTTTTTCTTTTTTTTTCACGTTCCTCCTAAATTAATTTGTCAGAATCAGAGGAGTATAAAAATTACATTTAGCATTTCAGATCTATATATTGTCTTCCACAAGTCATTACCCAAGTGTCCTTTCGTATAATACCAGAACTCATCACTTATGCTGAACGATGAGAGGCAAAATATTTTTTCTGTTTCATTTCATTCTGTTCCACCAAAAGCACAAAGGAGGGTTACGCCCTCTCTTTAGTCAAGTGACTGAGATCCTAATAGGAGGAAGACGTATATAATGTGTTGGTTAAGAGATGAACTGGAGAAACTGGGCTGTGATAGATAATATCACATGCAGAAAATTAAAATATGTGATATAATATCCGTGGAACAACGTAGTCAGTTTAACTGTACTAATGAATCATTGTGTTCGGTAAATATAGCAAGTCATTGGTGCGGCATCATGATCATGATCAGATACGGAAAGAGACGTCAAATGCGTATTTTGATAGTGACCAAGTGGTGGAAGTAACTTCCATGGAGGATGAACCTTATTTTCCGAGCAAGTCGTCAATAATAATATTTTGAGTTTTAAACTCCCCAATTATTTGTAGTGTATGGAGCTGTAAAATATTTTTGGCGAGAGATGTAAAGGTAATACGATCATACAGTTCACCTGATGAATTAGATAACTTGATATGGAAGACTAGACGAATAGAATGACGCTCCAGGATGGATTAGATAACTTGATTGGAAGACTAGACGAATAGAATGACGCTCCAGGATGGATTAGATAACTTGATTGGAAGACTAGACGAATAGAATGACGCTCCAGGATAGATCAAGGTATCTAATCCATCCTGGAGCGTCATTCTATTCGTCTAGTCTTCCATATCAAGGTATCTAATATATCAAGTTATGTAATCCATCCTGGAGCGCCATGCTATTCGTCTAATCTTCTATATCAAGTTATGTAATCCATCCTGGAGCGCCATGCTATTCGTCTAATCTTCTATATCAAGTTATGTAATCCATCTTGGAGCGTCATTCTATTCGTCTAGTCTTCCATATCAAGTTATCTAATCCATCCTGGAGCGTCATTCTATTCGTCTAGTCTTCCATAGAAGATTAGACGAATAGCATGGCGCTCCAGGATTTGTAGACGATCATTAAAGGAAGAAGAAATTAAAATATAGGAATTATGACCACAGGTGAGACAGGGGCGGATGAATTAGAAGTATTAATTGCTGACGATGCTTAAGAAATAACCCCATCACGACAGTGTACTCTATGTTAAATGTTACAATATCAGGAAAACTGCATTTTGCATTTGTTGAAATGAAGAATCTTAAACACTGCAATATCTCTATGGGCACGCATGTAATCTGTATAATTGGCTGCAGATACACTTCATACGTTTGCAGATATGTTGGTAGCTTAATGAATATGTGATAATTCCAAACTAATTATTTATGTGCTTATTAAGTTAATAATAACACAAACAGAACAAAATACTCAAACTGTAAGTGTATACTCTAGTTTTCCGTAGATTAGCACGCTTTATAAAACTTTCTGTCTTTATAACCTAGTTCTTAGGATCTGGTGCAGTGCTACCTTTCTCAGTTTATCACCGCAATAGCAAATAATCTGTTTGTTTGGTAAGTAAATTCGTAATAAAAGTTATTGTTGTTTTGGTTCGTTGTAGAGGGTTTTTTAAAAGATACCCTACTTGTTTGTTGGTATATACGTGTGGTCGACTATAATCAAGTGTAAGCAAAAGCCTCACTTCTTTTGAGACTTTCAACTTTTGCTTCTACAGTTTCAGTCCTTCAGCTTGATGTGGAAATATGTAAATATATATAACGCTGTAATAAAGTGCATCAGAAGTAAAATTAAACCAGATCCACATATTAATGTATTAACTAGTGTTTATCAGAGAGTCTTCGGAACTCCGAAAAGTGTGACTAATTTAATCTGTCACTGAATAAAGAAATGCCTCAAAGTGATGTAATAAGAGTTAAAGGTCAAGATTATATGAAATTTACAGTATTAGGTTTCGTTAAGTTTTACGCTTGAAAAGTATAGGGTTTATTGTAATCAACTTTGGTAAATGAATTTAAAAAATTCTAGAATTGAAGATTAAATGTGTAACATTTAGCTAAGATATTGTGAAGAAAATATGTTTAATTATCAGGATTTTTTTAAATCACCGTTTTGAACTTACTAAATAAACTTACAAAGAAACAGTTATGTAAATAAAGGACTTTCATAATGTAACTCTTTTTTTTTATTTTAGGATATTTCTGACCTTCCCACTAATGCTTGATATATGTGATAACAGATGGCGTTTTCTGCGTTTTTCTTGACTTTTTTTTTTTTTCACTGAAATTGTCAATTGTGCTACATTCAAGGTAAATCTAATAAAAAAAGGAAAAAAAGTCTTACAAATAAATAGATATATATATTTAATCTTTCTGAGAATATTTTAAAAAGACAAGAAAAAATATATTGAACATTTTTTTAAAAACAATAGGTTTTATTGTATTCATAATACAAGCAAGTTACGTATTTGTACAGCAGAAACTTGTATGATTTAATTAATTAATACACTATTTGTTCTTGCTGTCCACGGTCATGATGAAAAAAACAACAACATAAAAACCTAAAACTGACAAAAAGGACTCATATTATTTAATTAAGTATAACTCATGAGTTTACTCAAGCTAATTCTAATTTGTTTGCGTAATTTAATAATATTATTGGTTCATTCAGTGAATTTAAAAACTTCGCAATTTACAATATTATGAAATATATCATATCGAATAGTATGAAATACAACATTTAGTTAGCTGTAATTCATATCCATGATACTGAGTCACTAATACTGGGGTGAAAAAAACGGGAGTACTTATGATTATAATCAATGGATCATTAAAATGAAACTCAGAAACTATTCTTTTTTAGAAAATTGAATTACGCAGTAATCGCGCCCTTTTCATGAAAGCAAATTAAGAAAACCAGTATCATAAAAAGGTCTTTTGATAAGGTAGAACAAAATGAAACTTTTGAACCACTGTTTCAAATATGTCTTTTTTTTTCTTCTAATTTACATGTTACATACAAGCTTAAAATGTTTAGTGATTTATCTATACATAATGGAACGATTACAATAGATATGTAAACACACTAACGAAACTTGAAAGATCCCCCAAAACCGCTTGATGAACCATTTTTGTAATAGTTCAAGAGAATAATTGTAAATTGAATATTGATATGGGCTAACGAAATAAATGTTTTTCAGATTAAAAGGGATATAACAGTAGGAAACAGAAACTAGCGAAACAAAACTAGGAGAAAATAATTTACAGTTAACAAAATCAAAAATGTTTTATATCATTACAAAGGATTACAGGTAATGACCAAACCCTCAGACTATTGTGAAATGAAGATCTTAGAACAAATTGATGTATTTTCATAGAAGTGGAATACAATGTCACTATAAAACACATTCGAAGCACAGCTATGACGGCAAGGATTAACTGATTCAAGGAACGGTCTCCGTTAAACAAGAATCTAATACAAACTTATAAGGTTCTAGTTATTTTGAACCAAACAGTTTCTGTCTCTCCATTTTTTTTCTCTTCCTTCTTACCTTATAAATTATAAACACCACGATCTCTGTAACATAAAAATATAAGCGGATGAAGAAACTGAGACAAGTGGTGGCGCTTCTCTATTCTATAATAATACACACCTGTGTTACTGTTTACGTATTCCAGTTTGGTTTGCAGCTAGCGGTAAGCTTACTTGTAACGAAAACTTTGTAAGGTTTACAAGATTAAAAATTACACTGGTACAACATTAGTATATAAACATATCCACCTTTTTGTTCTTGTAGCATGTACAATTATGGACAACTCCGTTTCGTTTTCAGATATGAGTTTTGATAATTTATTTAAAATAGTATATAAATTTCTTTATCTAAAATAGTGTGTACATTTCTCTATTTGTTTAGTAAGTACAAATTATCTGGAGGAGGTCATTTTGTCCTTCTTTGCAAACATGCAGGGTTTGTTTTCTCTCGGTTGTTTTACATGATTTCTATGTAAACATCTGTCAGTATGATTTTCTTTCCTGTTATCCTTTTGTTTATTGATATAGAATATATCAAATGGCAAAGTGAAGTTTAATGTATAAATTGATTCCTAATCAACTTATTGTTTACTCTTTGTTTATAAACAAGGACCTATACTGCATCCCACCCACATACACTCCTCCAGTGGCACAGTGGTAAGTCTATGGACTTATAACGCCAGAAACCGAGTTTAGATACCCGTGGTGGGCACATCACAGATAGCTCATTGTGTAGCTTTGTGCTTAACAACAAACAAGCAAACCAATAATGCAACTTATATAATTATGTTCTTTGTAATAAACTTCTTCTAAAATCTGTTCTCTTTTAGTTATTTGAGCAAATCTTGCAACAGTATCCAAATAATGATTGTAAGAATATTAGTTTCGTATTTAATATATTACTTGTTTAAGACACGCGAGTTAAATATCAGATAAACTTGAAACTGAGTACAACAAGAAAACCAAACTTCATATGTCATCTAGCATGGAAAGTATATTCCCAGATACAGTATGATAAGGAAATATGTGGACTTTGTTAAATAATTGATTTTTTATATATATTTAAGTTTGCTACACCCCGGTCGTATTTGTATTTAACCACGTCCTCTTCTTTCCTCATTCATTCTATCAAATTAGACCTGTTTATATATACGTACGTATACATATATATATATATAACTGATATATTGCTACAAATAACAGGTTTCATAGGTAGAACAAGGAACAATTATAGACATACGCCTTTACTGTCTCCATTCATTATTTTTCTCTGACAGGCAACCGTGTACAATCAACCTGCTGTAAGCATTGCCTGTGGGCGTAATAAATCACATATCCAGGTCTTGAGCTTTGGTGATAGGTTTCTTTGAGAAATCGCTTCTGTAAAAATAAACCATCAAGATTTGAACATGATGTAAAGGTATAAAGTGATATGTAAGACTTAAAAAGTATACCTAGTGATGTAAGAGTTTATACTAGCGTTTGATGACTACACTACTAATAAGAAAAAACTTAAGTAAATATAATATCTAAAAATAACGCCTTCTTCATGATCTAGTGTGTAAAAAAGCATTAGTAAAAAGAGGCTGGGCACGGCCAGTAGCTTTGGATATTTTTTATACAATTCATTAGGTCTTGATATTTTTTATTTTTTTTTACCTGCTGTTTAAATCTTGGTTTGAACACATTCTATACACTGATAAAATACTGAAAGTAGACAAATTTTCACAAGAAAAGAAAACTGTTTTCATAAATACTGGAGATTTGTTTGATTTTTTTTAAATCTCTCTCAAACCTTCAGGAACTGAACTTATGTAACTTATCTTGAAACTAAACCCGAAACATTTATTTTACCAAAACGTTTCCCATTCACTGCAAGTTGCATTAGTCTTACTTCTCTAGCAATAATACGACCCTAGTTTCAAAAGACGTTTAAATCTTGCTTCTGATTCATTTTTATGATGGTTACCGAGATAGATAATATTGTATGATAAGTGATTCTGGCAAAAGTTAGTTAACGCAGTCCTTTAAGGCTGGAAAGATCTCCCAACTCAGTATCGCGATAAACAGCCTGACCATCTTTAACAATATCAGTTAGGTTTGGGTGCAATAATAAGTCAATAGTATTGAGTTTGCCAAAGTACGGACAGATTTTTCAGACGCCAGAGCTGAAAAATGTAATTTCACATCACTATAGTTATTCCTTCATAAGCCAGCCAAACGAAGTCATCCCCATGAATTACATTACAGAAACAAATCCCAGTGATTTGGGGTATTCAAATTTTAGTCCAATTCTTCTTAGTTATAGAGTTTTCATCAGCTGAAATGCATTTTTTTGTCATCAATGAAACCTTGCGGTGAATTCTCATATTCCCAATATGAACTTTTGAAAACTTGAAGATTACATTTTGCACCCTTCAGAAAACTAAAACAAATATCTAGCTTAAGCCTATAGTCTAAGTATGATACTTTAAACTGTGTACAAGAAGTCCAAGTACTTCAAATATATGCTTTCTTATTTTTATGAAATTGTATGCGAACTTACAGTCCAAGAAGTTGGTAGCCAACTCGGTATAGTGTTAATGGTGATTCAGGTGTTCTTTTAATGTTCAAATACAAATATAAAAAAAAGACGTATCAACTTTGATACCACAGTTTTCTCAATTCACAATTTTCCTTATCTGCCACAGTCACCACACAAAAAGATATATTCGTTTAACAGGCTGCAAGTAACTATGTAATAAACTAATGTGCAACAGTTTAAAAAAAAACTCAAATGCAACAAAACAAACATCTCATGGTAAGATGAAGAAAATATATTTTGATTTAAATTGATAAGAGTCAGACCATCAAAGCTACAATGCTAAATATATCAGTAATATATCTAGACCACAGCTAAGGATGAATAGTTGGATTGTTCACAATTATAGTAGTCATTTCCATTAGATGTGTGTTTAAGACTGACATTATTTAATTTTTGTAGAGCATAGGTGTATAGAAGACATATTAATACTAGAAATCAACGACCTTATAACACCAAATTGTTGTTTTTATTTAATTAGACACCCACCGTTTCGCTTTACAGCTTCTTCAAGAGCGTTCGCTAAAACACAAACTGAAAGTGACAGTACAAAGTTTCTGTTTCGGTTTGTGTTTTAGTGAACGCTCCTGAAGACGCTGTAAAGCGAAAGGTTGAGTGTGTAATTATATAAAACATAATTTGGGTGTTATGAGGTCGTTGATTTCGAGTGTTAAGACTGACATTGTTTCAATATTGTGGAATAATTTAACTATTGTATATTATATTTACCCATTGTTATCAGTTTTAACTAAAGTTGTATAATTTAATGCGGTCATTTATAGCTACTATTCTCATTGCTGCTTCTTGTATCTAAGCGATAACTATCTAATAATTAGTTATGGAATGTTGGGCTTGACAAAATATTTGTAGCTATATAAATACTATATGTATTTGGCTGATATTCTTTGCAGATGTTCTCACGTCATTAAATTGGTTTGTTATGAATTTCGCGCAAAGCTACACGAGGGCTAGCCGTTCCTAATTTAGCATCGAAAGACTAGAGGGAAGGCAGCTAGTTATCACCACCCACCGCCAACTCTTGGGCTATTCTTTCACCAACGACTATCACATTATAACACCCCCACGGCTGAAAGGGCGAGAATGTTTGGTGGGACGGAGATTCGAACCCGCGACCTGCAGATGCCTGGCACGTCATTAAAAGTCTTTAATGTTGGTCTTACTTATCTGTTTGTCTTTGTAATTGCCTTTGATTTGTTGTTATATCTTGACTATTACTAACGGGATAAGGTAAAAATCTTTAAACCTCAGATCCCAAGACACACTTTCACAAGTTTTACCATTTGTAACTTTAAACCTTTTATTATTTTCATATTAATATAAAAACCGTTAAACTGGTCAAAATTCAGTTGTTGTTTTTCAGTCCGTTTATAAATTTAAAAAAGTATCTTCAATTAACATTCTGGTAAGATTTTTAATTTTTAACAATTAATAAATTTTAAACTTTCTGAAATTTATAGCATCTTAAACGTCTGACAGCACTAAGATTTTAAATTTTGGACAATAATGATATCTTAAACTCACTGGCATTATAATAATTAAAAATGTTTTTCTATTTATAAAGAAAGAAAGAAAATGTTTGTTCGTCGAAAACACGTCTTAAGAAACAACCAGTTTTTATGAAAGTAATTACACAAATAGGCAAAAAGCACAGAAGTTAACCCACCCACTGGTGAAACGGAAATAGAGGAATGATGCATAGCTATTCTCTTCAACAATGACGCGTGAATCACGTTTCAGCAATTACAATGCTTAGTTGTAATTACCTTGCGTTCCTGAAAAGGGAAATTTTAAATGTAAATTAAAGTAATAAAAAAAAGATGGATACATTTCTGTAAATGAATTGCTAGTAGAACTAAGGATTTAATAGCTTTTATAAGAAATGCTATACTCTTTAATCATAGTCCAAGACCTACACGTTTTATGACTTTAACAAATGTAAAAAGCGACGAATGGCCACACTGAGCTTTGGGATTTAGAACAAAAACACAGTTCCAGTGGAACCAAAGCTATGATCCTTAACATTGTGTTCGCTTTAAAATTTTTTATTTTTCATCTAATCACTTATTCATTTATTTTCATTCCAGTGCTATTTATTTGATAAAATCTCTGACTCTTAGATGTCAGCAAGTGTTTCTATTGTACAGATGTATTTTTTTATCCTTTTATTTCTCTGGTTTGAAGTTGTTTAAACTAATAATTATGTTTTGAGTGAGTGCCAGAAATAAACAAAACAACTGATTATTCTACATGAGTTTTTTAATGGATAATTTGTCTTTCAGTGGCTAATGCCAAAAGTCGTGTCTGATATTCAGGATCTCAGTTTGTTTGAATAGACGTACTTGTATAACAGCAGCTACACCGTAAATCATTTTTCATTGTAAAGTTTCGGGGTTTGTCGGTTTTAAGCTGCCCTTTTATACAGTATTATACAAAACTACTTTTTTTTGAGGGGGGGAATAATGTGGAAATTTGAGAAATAAATAGATTGCTGAAGCAGCTTGAAACTTGATATTTAATTCACTTCATTAGAACTTAATGAAAATATGACAGATTTATACATAATATCATTGTAACTTTAAAATTATATTTGTTTTTCACTGAAAAGTTAGTAGTTCATATGAAATAGCTTTTGATTATGATGAGGTAATATGACTGGAGAAGTCATATCTTTTGACACTATTCGTATAGAGGAGCCATTCAATAAATAAACACCCATTTGACGATTTTTTTCTCAAAGAAACAAGATATCGAAATGAAACATGTACACTGCAGGTCATATATTTGTAAGTAACAAATTATGAGTTGAGGGACTGGGGTGAAAAGAGTATTGTTCAATCTTCGTTGCTTTAATCTCTGAACCTTTGCATCCCTAAATATATAACTGTCTCCTCTTTAAAAATATACAAATAGACGTTGGTGAGAAAACTCTCTCATAACTGTACTAGCAGCCCAATGTGTACACTTTATATTTGGCAAGCTGTACAACTGTGGAGGGTGGGTGTGTATGTTGCTTAATAGCTTACACTCTAAATTTGTTGATTTCTCTAAGTAGTTCAACATTAGTTTTTAGTTCATTATTAACACTAACTGGTTGGTAAATTATACAATGGATGTAAAAATTCAATCAGTATTCCAAAGCTTACAGCAGCATATTTTGGAAGGAAGCACCATTTTGGGGTGAAATAGAGAGAGAATATCATAGTGCAATGTCAATAAAAGGGTCATATTTGAGCTTCTGCTTAAATTTCCAGAAGGAATGCACTTTAAAACTTTTTAAATAATTAGAAAAAAAGTTATTGTATACCCAGAAAAATCAATATATTTAATGTTCAAGTATCTAATTGATTTATCAGTCAACACACACACACACACACATTATTCAGTCGTATATCTTTCCACAACCTTCCCAATCGTACAGCTTTCCACATCTTACCTAGTTGTACAGCTTTCCTAGTAAAATGTGGACACATTGGGCTGCCGGTACAACTATTAGAAAGTTTCTTCATCAACGTCTGTAGTATCTGTAGAGAAGATAATTGAAAAAGAATTAACAATGTTATCTCGCCCCAAGTTTATCTGTACATCATTTGTCCTTTAAAAAATAAATACATATTTTGAAATAATTTTTAGTATATATTGATTTCAGCTTTCGTATTAGATAAAATATTCTCATTAGCAAAAGTTGTTGTTTGTTATTAAGCCCAAAGGGCTAGCTGTGCTCTGTCCATAACGGGTATCGAAACCCGGCTTGTAGCGTTGTAAGTCCGCAGACATACCGCTGTGCTACTGGGGGGCTTGATCCTTCAAAATAATGTTTTACTTTTCAAAAATAAATAACCGATCATTAAATTAAGATTTCAAGATTTTACAGAAACATTGATAGCGCAGCTAAAGGTCAGTGATTTTTCACATACAGTAAATTAACTAGTTCTTTCCCCCCAATGGCATAGCGGTATGTCTGCGGACTTAAAACGCTAGAAACTGGGTTTCGATACCCGTGGTGGGCAAAGCACAGCTAGCCCATTCTGTAGCTTTGTGCTTAACTTCAAATAAAAACCCAAACACTAGTTCTATATAAAGAGGTAACTTAAAGTATTTTTAATATATCAGGAAATACACAGCTTAAAATCTGCAATCAGTCTAATATTATATGTAATTTAAAATACCTCGTGTGATATAACACTTCCTGATGTCTATCTTTTATATTCTATCTTGTTTTATAAATTTTAGAACAAATGTTTATTACAACTAGGAATAGGAATATTAAGAAAATGAATGAGTTTGAAACTAGCCTTATCATAATTATGCATTGCAGCTAGTAATATATTTCTATTATATTGTTTAAAGTTAAAATAACTCAGGAATATTTTCTGAGTAAAATAATAAAGTACACCACTTGTATTCACTATCATTATACCTGAAGTTATAAAAAAAGTTTTTATTTGTAAACAAATTTTTTTAATGTTGGATTTGTTTCTATTACCCTACTGGAATAAACATTTGTAACTAGCTTGGAATACGGTTTGAATGAATGAAGATTGACAACTGTAACAAAAATACCAGTGTTTATAGCTTCACAAATAAAACAAATAATTCTTCAACAAGTTTATCAAAATTTACTAGAGTGTGGAGATTTTGTGGATGCCGAAGAGTTCGTTAAAGAGTAGAGTAGAAATTAAACCTAAGAATATTACCTTTCTACGCTGAAATTATACCTAAGAATATTACCTTTCTACGCTGAAATTATACCTAA